TTGACCTGACCTTCGCTACGCAACCCAAGGTCAAACTGATGTGATCAGTAAATACATCTTTTTAAACGCCACAACTTTTGTCTGAAACATTTTTTTGTAAAACTTATATTTTTCCTGATATTCGGGCGTCCCGGTACTTTCCGAACACCCTGTATATGTAAAGATATTAAAATAATCTTTGTATATACCATTTTTTGCATGATTCAATCGATTCAGCTGGAACTTTATCTTTCATTGAAAATTTCGACAATTTTAACCGAGTATCACTTTCCAAAAATGAAAAAAGTGTGACTTTAAGTAAATTATAGTCTTATCAAAACTATTATTACAATTCAATTTCGAACAAATTTTAATTACAAAGTATAAATTATGTTCCAATTTTAATGGTTTGTTATATTGCAGATATGTTATGGGATAAAGTGGACGGTTTAAGTAAAGAATTTCATGAGTTTAGAACTGACAGCAAACAACAATTCCAAAAAAATATGTCAAAAATGAAAGAACTAATTGCAATCTTGAAAGAAAAATGCCCAAATACTGCGAATGACGAAAACCCAATGGATAACTTATCATTGTTGCCCGATTTCCCATTATTATCCAGAGAAGAATTTTTTGAATTTAATAATAGATTAAAAAATGATGAAGCAATTTGTAAATGCTTTGTAAGTATTAAATCATAAACACAGACGCATGCACGCACATTGTAGCAGTACATATAACGGTTACTTACTTGAAAGAAACAAAATTAATAGACTATATTAGGTATATCAATGAATTCTGTGCTTTAAGTTAACCGACTTAAATGACTTTATTACCTTAAAAGTAGAACCAAGTTTCTACTTCGACAAAATTCACAAACTGTCTGATAAATGGCAAAGGATTATCGATGCCAATAGAAAATATTTCAATGATTGAATTTCTTTTGTTTTTTTTTTTTAAATAAAGGTCAAATTTTGTAAATAAAGCACAAAATTCATTGATACACTAATTCATTGATACCTAATATTTCTTGTATACTTTTTGTATTTCATTAAATTTTTTTTATTAAAATATTTCATTCTTTGCTAAAAATTGACCATCAGAAAGTTTAGATAAATATTATACACTGTAGGATTTAAAGAAATAAAATTTATAGTAATTCCAGTTTTTTTATTACGTATATGATTCTTCATAAGGCCTTATGAAATCCGGTTTCATCCGGATGAAATAGTTTTATGAAATATAAAAATAATGTACTTATATATATATATATTTCATATTCAAATAATACTATTTCAATATTTATTATAGAAGCAAACTATTATGCAAATAGGTGGAGGTGATACAAGCCAAAAAATCGTCTCCAATATCTTATCATATACAATAACATACGATTTAGGACATAAGTTGTCTTGGACCGGTGCGAAAGGATCGATTGCTGTGAAAGATTCTCCTTTTATTAATATTGTTGTTGGTGAGTAATTAATGTATGTTTTTATCATACATACTATATATGCTAACTTCCTATACAACACAACGTCTAAAATCGGAACATAAGACGTCATAAAGACATCTTAAGCGTAGTCTACAATGAGAATTTAAGCCATAACATTTAAGCTTTAAGCCCTAAGCCTTTCTTGAGAAGTTGACCAATTGCATTCAATTATAAGAAAAATAATTGACTGTGATTGGTCAATTTCTTACGGCTTAGAGCTTAAAGCTTAAGTTTTATGGCTTAAGTTCTCATTGTAGACCACGTTTTAAAGACATATTACATTCTGACGTCTCAAAGATGTCTTTAAGATGTCTTTTAGACTTCTTATGTCTCGATTTTAGACATTGTGTTGTATGGGATGACTACCCAGGTAGAACACAAAATCATTTTGATGTCAAGATGATATCATTTTGACATTATTGTCATGAAATTGTCATGAAAATGATATCGTTTGACGTCAAAATGATGTCATTTTATATCATTTGATGTCATTTTGACTTTTATATGACTTTGTGTTCTACCTGGGTATTCAGAAGAATGTAGTAATGAGTATATCTTTGTAATTACATATTGAAAACAATCTACGACCGAAGAAGGATGAACACAATAAGGATATTAATATTATGTGCGTTTAATTATTCGAGAAATCTACTATTGTGTTTATATCCTTCATTAATATATAAAATATACTTATTCGTATTTGCAACATATGAAAAATTTTAATTTCTTGAAAAGCCTTTTAAATATTTATATTTTTATTTGTACATTTCATTGTTTTAAATATTTCTATTGATTTCATATTAATATTCTATATTTTTATAGGAGTAATCAGTGCTAAAAATAAGAGGAATATCGATGACACCATCGTAGAAATACAAAAACACATTAAAAACTGGCTGCAACATGCGGGCGATAAAATGCGCTATCATTTAAAAAAAGTAAACCAGTAATTTTATTATAATAATATATTTATATGTGATACATAAATGCTACTGTATAGCATATATATTCAAGTATATAATATATGTATTCAAGGTGACCCAAAAAATAAAAAAATAGATAATATACTTTTTACGTGAAGTTGACTTTGACAATATATTTATTGGCAGTCTCATAATGACACTATGTATAATTTAAGAAAACTGATACTAAGGTCGGTACAATCATGAGTGCATTCAGATTCCTTACCCGGATGCACTCTAATACTAGAAGTTCTATAGTATATGTAATATATATTATAGTGTTTCTAGTAATAGAGTGTACCCGGATGAGGAATCTGAACATAGCCTATAGTCGTGACTTAAGTCGCCGTTTTAGTGAAATAATACTTATATTCATGAAAGCTCTCTTTCTATTGGTTGTGCTCAGACTGACGATCAATAGGAACAGCATTTTCTTGAATAAGTATTTAGCAAGACAGCGACTTAGGACACGACTATGATTATACTGGCTTTAATTAGGACCGATTACTTTTAGATGTCTGTTAGATATTTTTTAGACATCTAAACGATATCTAGAAGAGGTCTAAAGGATATCTTGAAAATGTCTTGATAGATATCTTTCCGATATCTTTACGATATCTTTAAGATATCTTAACGATATCTTTCAGATGTCTGAAGATACCTAAAAGATGTCTAAAAGTGTTGCATAAGACTTCTAAAAGACGTCTAAAAGATATCTTTTGGACAATAATTAAGATATCTTGCAAGACATACAAGAGATCTTTTAGATGTCTACAAGATATCTTTTTGTCTATATGGGAAGTATATATTAATATTAATTATGTCGAATTTGATAAAAGTATCGAATAGAGGATCCCGCCTCGATAACTTTGATCTTGACATATATTGTCAAGGTCAAACCCTTGAGAGACTTTCAAGAGATTTTAGCCATCGCCCGTTATCCTTTTTTTTACGAACCTTATTTCAAAATATACTACTGTGTCCAAAAAGTAAGGTGACATTGCATTTATTTCGAAAATTCTTTATTTATTCTTGCAAATCAATTTCGTCCCCTTCAAAGTAATCCCCCCCTGATATAATACACTTATTCCAACGGATTTTCCAATCTTCGAAACAGTTGTAATAATCGATTTCAGGAATGGCCTTTA